CTCTGTAGGACATACCGGGCAGTGGCACAAGACCTAGTATATATTCCGGACATTTACCAAAGGTCTAGTCATACTAGTTAGAGTTAAGTGCCATTGCCCGGTATACATTTGTCCGATACTCCAAACACTGATGTTTCTTCTAATCTATCGTCAATAAGTATTAAAATATCGAATAAACGTAATTATATCCACGAATAAATTAATATCAAATTGGATGTAATAAATATCTCGGACATTCACCAAAGCGACTATGTGATTGTCAACATTCACCGGTGAAAGTCAACAACCACCGATTCCAATCATTCACAGTAACATGCACATCATTTACGCAATAACCACATCAGGACGTTTAGTTCATACTTTGCTTAAATAGCATTTGCCATTCTATAGACTGCCTAAGCATTTTATACAATGCCTAGGGAAAGTCTGTAATACTTCTCTCATTTCATACTTTGCCTAAAAATATCCAACATTCTATACAATGCCTAGGCATTCTATACAATGCCGGCGTTTCGTACTTTGCTGGTAACATATAGGGGAGTGTCGGGCACCCCCGTCCACTGTCAATTTCATATGTATAGAATATTTTTTTCAAGTCAATGGGCCATCGGACATTAATTGTTATATTAAAGGAAGATTATTTTCAAAGTTTCAAGTATTTATGCAGCTGTTAACATGGTAAACAATAGTTTTGAAAATATGTTGAATACAGTAGTCATGAAATTAAGAAAAATTGGTTGAATGTTTCGATTAAACTTCATTTTAATACTAAAAAAATAATTTTTTCTATACATACAGCATTAAAGTATGTAGTCTTAAGTTTAATTTGCACAAAGAAAGAAGTTTATATGTGAAAAATTGTTCGAGTAATTACAAATTTACAAAAAAATTGGATTTCGGGTAGCCCCGCTCACATGAATGTCGGGTATCACCGCCCAATTTTATTTCGTCGATAAATGTACGGTTGCAAAGATTATTATTTTATTGCTTCAAATTTGAATGCTATATGCATTTTTAACAACAATTGTTGTTATGAAATGATAGAATTCACTAAAAGTATATAAATATGTAATAAATAAAATAATTTTGTGATAAAAATGATAAATGAGCTTTATCTGTTGTCAATACATTGGTCATTTTCATTTACACCTGAAAAAACAGTCAAAAAACATAATTTTTGTGACTGGGGGGGACATATTTTGAAAAGAGCTGAAAAACATGTTTTTTTTTTAATTTCTATTTTTTTAAGTTAAACTATTCTTTTTTTGGTTTATTCTTTTTGCATTATTTAAATAGATGATAAAACAATAGTAACATACAAAAATATTGATTATTACTCAATATTATACAGAAATACTCCTTAAGTGGGCGGGGTTACCCGACTCTCCCCTATATTTAAACGATGCAATTTAATGCCTGTAAAAAGTAAAACAATATTATTTGAAGCCAATTCTGCACAAACAATAAAAACTTTTCAATCACGTGTTGTAGAGAACTTTAAAAGTAATTATTATTGTTAGTAAAACCTACCAACTTTCAAATACTCTACGAGAGATTTTATTATAAAATTAAGTTTGTAAATGTACTTTCGTGATTCTATTTCTAAAGACACACGTGTATCGTTTAGTATTTAATCAGATCCTTAAAACATTTGAGTAATCTTCACAATTTTCCTTCCACAAAAGCATAATGTCATTCTGGATGAGTTCTTTTTTTTCTCCAGACAATAATATCTATAGTTTTTATTTGTAAATAAACAATCTAAAAGTTGTCTCTCATTTTATCCCCGTCTTTAAGAACCAGAGCATTCTTTTTAAAAGGATCGTTCTTATTTAACAAAAACTAATGTCACGTGTCCATAAAATATTCATTTCGTGGTACCATGTAAAAATAAGTTAAAAACAACTATAAAATTTAGACTATTTAAAACCTATTCTCATTGGATAGAGATTTTAGATTTTTCTTTCCTCAAAAAATTTATAATTCTAATAAGTTCTGATTTTAATATTCTTGGTGAAATGAAGATTATGCATACCTTGTGTTGCAAATAAATTAGTTTTTAAATAAAAATAGATTGTAATTTTAAAAATAATTAAAATTTACTCTTAATATATAGTTTTAAATTTAGTGTTAAAAAAAAGTATTTGGTCCATATTTGATGCATGTAAGCCCGAAGAAGTGGAAAATTTTAAAAGAGGAGAAAGAAAATATTGATGATATTACAGACAAATTATTATTGATGATTAATTCTAAACCAGATAGTTTTTAAAATAACACTCTACCTGTAGTTCAAAGTGTGCCAAAGTCTAGTTTAAATGCATTCTCTGACCCACACTCTCAGTGCCAACCTTTAATGGTACAATCGAAAAGTGTTTTTTTAAGATATATCTGTAGCCAATGTAATAAAAAAACTGTTCCATTTAACTTCTATGAAATTGCAATATTTTAATGCGAGTTGTTCTCAAGAAGCCCTACCAGGAATACAACAAATTTCGAATGCTAACTGTGAATGAATAAATAACAAAAGAACGCGCAAATATCAAAAAGTTTTTTGAATCACCCAAATATTTGTAAAATATCTTAAAAATGGTATTCTCTTACATCTTACGAATGAGCGCATTCGAATTTTGGAATCGCTAGATTATAAAGTATGCGAATGGTTGTTCTAAACGAAGTTCGCTTTTTAAATAAAATGATAGGTAGTTGAGAAGCGTTCAACCGAGAATCAGAATCTATTTTTCTGTATCTAAGTTTTAATAGCTCGACAGTTGTTTTCAGGATAGGTAAGGACTGTCTTCAGAACATTACCAAGCACGATATCCGGACGGTGGTCAACAGTTGGTATAGTGTGAAGTCAGCAATCAAGTTATTTTTAATATCAAATCAATAAAATATTCTTAGAATTAAAAAAGAAAATTTAGACACTATTTCAGGGGGGAGGTAACTAAATTTATTGCTGTAAAAATTTAGCATTTTTATATACTTTTTAACAAAAACATAGACTTCAATTTAATTCTCACAGAAATGAAAATTATCATTGACCTTAAATAATTATATGTGCATAAGTAAACTGATTCACATGGTATCTTGCAAGTAAATTTCTTTAAAAAAAAAGATACTAGTTTCGAAACATAAGAGAGTGTTTACATGAGGTTAGAGTATAAAACGGAATATTTCTGATATTTTATCAATCAAAAATTATCTGCTTTGGCAGGAAGGAAAAAATGTGTTGCATTTTCATAAGTAGTTACAAGACAAAACACAAAATTGTTAAATTAAAAAAAAAAGGTTCTTATGGTGGAAAAGTAATTTCTTAATGTTTACTTTAATTGCAATTTTTAACTTTTTATTCAGCATCTTGAACATTAGGACAGGATGAAGGAATATGCTTATTCGAACTTAGTCTTAGCTTCGTTACCACTATTAGAGTTTTTTTTTAATAACTACAGGTACGCAAACAAGATGTTTAGGTATTTATCGAGGCTGTTGTAGACTTCTACAATATTTTAAGTTCTACTCACCGGGCCAAAAATGTTTAGAAACACAGGCGTCACATTGCAAACGTGTTGGTGTTTGCTCTTCACAAAATATTTTTTTTCTATGGATAGTGAATTTAATAGTATCAATTGTTAAATTCTAACATTAAACTAAACTATTATTACATTATACACTATCATTCGAGTTAAATAGTAATAGTATAATTTAATAAGAATAGTAAATAATGAATTAATTTCTTTTTATTTGCAGGATTTAAATTAGACACATTTAGTTGAAAAGAAAAATGAACAAAAAAAAATCAAACCTGGAATTTAAACGCAAGAATAAATAACTATTACTCAACAAAAAAGAAAAGAAAAAATCTTACGATTAAAATTTGACCCATTGACTAGTTTAAGTGCTCAAAATTTTCAACTGGTTTTCTGTACAGGATGAAAATACAATTTTCAAACGCTCTTTGACCACTATTCGCAGAACATATCGCCTATAAAAATTATTATTTTTGGCCTGAACAAGCCAGGAGACTCAAAACTGAAATGTTGAAGAAAAAATTAATAAAAATGTATATGCATTTAAAACATCAAGTTTGATCAGTAGACTAAAAATGGATAATAATTTTATAAAAATTTTCACGTATAACAAAAACCACAAAATCAAAATTTCCCAATATACTTCTATCAACATTTAAAATTTCACTTTCTTCGTTTTGGTGACAAAAATTAACGTTTCTTTTTCAGTACACTTGTCAGACATGTTTAAAAACATTTCCATTTTCGATTACACTTTTTAAAGGACTTTCCTTAGTGCTCTCCTTTAAAATATGCACTCTCATTGCATATTTTATTAATTTAAATAAATTTCTCATCTCTAGCAAATCGAAGAGAAAAACATTTAATATTTTGGTAAACAAAATAAGTTTGATTGCATTATATTTAATTAAACATTAATGAGAATAAAATTTAGATGTATGTGAACACCTCTTCTCAATGCTAACTCAGAAGCAAATTTATTTGTTATATCGTTAATTATTTGAAGTTTTTTTCCAAATGTTTTAAATCATGAAAACCAATTAAGACACTAAGAACATTGATCGGAGGAAAAAACTGACAATTTACGCCGGAAAAAAGTAAGTAGAGTGCAGAATAAATATTTCACCCTGAATAAGTTGCTCTTATGATCAGATTTTCACCAACTAGGTAAAGATCATAATGATTTAAACTTGCGACCTGAATTATGTTAAGTGACAAATACTTATCTATCAATAATAAGCATAATTAAAGGTCACTATTTTGTACCATTACAATCAAAACTCTGAAAATCCGATCATTGAAACAAAGGCACGGTTACTTCATTTTTCGCACAGCTGAAACAGAAATGAATTTAATTTAAAAAATATATTTTATTGAAATTTAATAATGTTCTCTTAATTGAAAATTTTACTGTAACCACCTTTAATCAATCGAAGCAAATTGCTAGTCTACCAAAAAATCCAAAAACTAAAATTAACATACATAACATATTTATTTCTATCTAATTTACAAAGCAAATGAAGTTGAAACTTCATGTCACAACAATCTTACAAAATTGCCACTTTTACAATAGTATACCGAACAATTTAATACAATAAATATATCTAAATACAATATACAAAATATTTACAACCACTTGAAAATTTAAATGGAAAAACTTGAAATAGCTAACTATAAAAACACATTTTGCAACAAATTTTCCCTATAATAAGACCGCAATCATAAGACCGTAAAAAGGTTGAACCAGCGTTAAAAAAAACAAAGCCACTTCTGAGTTTCACTAATATCTCTAAACTACTCAAATTCTTAAAGAATTCTTTTACAACTTTATTGTTACACATGAGAAATAACGCGATCTAATAGTTTAAAAATTTTATAAGTTCTAGCCTTCCTGGAGGACTTTGCTTAAACTAACCCGCATTTGCGTTACATGAGAGGAAAACCAGGAAAACCGCCCACGGTTAGCTTGACGATATTGGATTCTAAGTCGTGATCCGTCTACCACTGAGGATATTTTACGTCAGCACTTTGGTCTGTGCAAGCTGGCAGAACTGTTATCAATCAGCCATGGATGGGATTTGAAATTTAGTCATCTCATTGGGGGACAAGTGTCCTATTTTTTAGTCTCATTCACCAAAAAGTTCACAAAACTTCGTCGACAACACATAATCTGGAGACTTAACATTCAGTGCGACTTTCATTTGTGCTTTAAAAACAGCTTCAAAAAAACAAGGAAAAATAAAGTTCATCGTCTCACCCACTAGCTTAACAAAAAAGTTATTGACACGTTCTTTGTGCTGGTAACATTTTTCCATCCATTCACTTGTTTCCTCTTCAAGTCATTTAATTATTTCTCGAAACCCTTCATCCTGTGTGGTCATAGCATCTCAAAACTTACACATCAGCAAAAAATCAAGAATACAGACAATCCTGAAAAATACAAAAGACAAAAACAGTACCTTGGCACAAAAAGGAAAAATTAAACAATCTAATCAAATGAAGCTGAAAAAAAAATATTTACAAATCAATATTTTAAATAAAGTATGTCATTGAACAACATGAAGGATATTAGTGAAGAATTATCCATCATAGATCGTACAGTTACAAAAGTTCAAACATTTGCTTTTCATATATTAAAAGCTTCTAAATATTGGTGCAACGACTTATTTGAGCTTGCAGACAAACAATTAGCTAAATATATAATTTAAAACAAATTTAGAGAAAAAAAAAAGATTAGCTGGTATATCTATAATGAATTTAAACGAAGGCAAATTAAAAAATTTTAACTATTAGATGAGTACTTTTTATAAAATCCAATCACAAAATCAATACAATTTACTAAGTCAATGTTGATAACTAAGAGGTAAATAAACACAATGAAACCTTACTTCATTAATTCAAATTGGAAAAGCGCACAAGGCAGCTGAAAACCAAATTTGTATTATATAAAATTGAAATAAGACCAAAAATATCTTAAGTAAAAATAATTTAAAATAAAATATAAATGTAAAAATCTTAATTAAAAATAATTAAAAATGAAATATAAGTGTGTGCTTGCAAAACAGTACTTCATCAGCGGACACACTGCCTGCAAACACGCAGGAGCCTTTCTGCTGTTAGTGGATTTAACCCAAACCAACTGTTACTGTTAGTTTTGGTTAAATTTTAGTTTGGTTAGTTTTGGTTAAAAAAAAAACTGTTAGTCTTGGATAAATCCACTAACAGAAAGGCTCCTGTGTGTTTGCAAGCAGTGTGTCCCCTGATGAAGTACTGTTCTGCCAACACACAATTCTATTTTCATTTGTAATTATTAAGAATTTGTCTTATTTCTACTTTTAATAATATTAATATTCATGCGCGATTTGGAATTCTAATCCAGAATTCAGTTTTATTTCCAACCGTTTGTACGAACGTATCGTAGAATATAATTCTCCTTAAATTTAGAATTTCATATTTGATAGATGGGGGTTAACTAGTTTTCTAGGGAAAAAAATTCACGCATTTGTTTTCTTTTTTTAATTATTCCTAAACGGTACAATTTCGTATTGTGCAAACACTATACTTAAAAAACGTTGATCTTAATTCTACTCACAGCTACCGAAGCTTTTACCGTTACACTTAAACAATATTTATTCTTGCATTTAAAAATATCGACTCTTAATACATAGTGGCCCTGACGTTAACAAATTTCGTAAAATTTTATATTGCGTTTAATAGCGTTACTCTTTTTAAAATTCTCTAATATTCATTTTGCATTTCTTCAACAAGAATTCATTACAGTCAGTATGACAACAATGTGCAAAATTGATGAGACCGCAAAGAGGTTGAACTAGCGTAAAAGAACAAAGCCATTTCTGAGTTTCACTAATATCTCTAAACTTATAAAATAATTCTCTAAGAATTTGAGAACTTTGTAGTTACATATGAGAAATAGCGTGATCTAATAGTTTAAAACTAGCTTTCCTGGAGGACTTTGTTTAAACTAACCCGCATTTGCGTTACATGAGAGGGAAACCAGGAAAACCACCCACGGTTAGCTCAACGGTATGAGTCGCGATCAGTCAACCACTGAGGATATTTTACGTCAGCACTGTGGTCAGTGCAAGCCTCGTATCAACCAGCCATGGATGGGATTCGAAATTGAGTCATCTCATTGGGAGGCAAAGTGTCGTATTCCAGTGTTAATAGCAAGTGTCTCATTCCCAGAAAATTTACGAAACTTCATCGACGACACATAATCTGGAGACTTAACATTCAGTGCGACTTTCAGTTGAGTTTTAAAAATATAGCTTCGAGGAACAAAGGAAAATAAAGTTCCTCGTTTCACCCACTGGCTTAGCAAAAAAGTAATTGACACGTACTTTGTGCTGGTAACATTTTTCCATCCAATCACTTTTTTCCTCTTCAAATAATTTGATACGTTCTCGAAGCCTTTCACCCTGTGTGGTCATAGCACCTCAAAACTTGCACATCAGCCACCAATCAAGAATACAGACAATTCTGAAAAATACAAAAGAGAAAAACAGTACCTTGGCTCAAAACAGGATAAATTAAACAATCTAATCCAATAAGGGAGAGAAAGAAACAAATATTTAAAAACAAACATAGTACGTTTTTGAACAATATGAAGAGTATACCTGCTGTAATACATTTGTACTTTCAAACATCAATAAAAATTTAATTTACAGTTACTCATCATAGATAAGAGTTCGTACAGTTGCAAATGTTCAAACATTTCATTTTTCATGTACTAAAATTTTCAAAGTAAATATATATATTAGTGGCAAGATTTATTTAAACTTTCAAGTAATATTCTAGAGAGTAGAGTCGTAATAGCCTTGTGTATATCTACCACTACAAAAATATAATTCCAAAACACTAGTATGTAAGAAGTGTTAACTCAATTCTATTGTGGGATACCATTTCATAGATGAATGTTTACACTGTCTATAACTTCTCTCCACATAGCCTAAAGCTTTACTAAAAAAACATTTAATTAAAGATACTTAATTGAATATTTCATTTTAAAAATGTATTGAACTTTAAAAGTTTGAACTTTATACCTGATTCAGGTGCTTTCGATGTTTACAGTATTCAAGATACTTAATAGATATTTTATTGTAAAGCTGGAAAAATACTATGTTGGAATTGTTTATTTTAAATTTCTACATTGTCACTCACATTTGAATGTTTGTCAAATACAGAAGAGTTATTCAATTAAATTTTGATTGATGAAACGAATAGGAAGGAAATAAGAACAAATTGATATTTAATGACAACTGGTTTATCAATTTGTTTAGGGTCATTTTAAAAGATACGGATATAATTTCATAAAATTTACTGAAATTAAAGCTCATACAAGAACATAAGAAATACATATAATTAAAAGCTAGAAAATTTTTATTTCTATGAGTAATATCATTACAAGCAAATGACTTTTAACATATTAAAATTTAAAGTTAGAAATATCTTACTAATTTTAAAATATAAAGTGTCTTCCTAGTTTAAGTAATGTTTAAATAAAAATTAGGTTATACGTGCTTACTTATTTTCTTTGTCTCACAGAACTGAACGATTTTGATGACTAAATGGCCATAGGTTGATGGTTATGGGTTAACATCAAAAAGTAAGATTTTATAAATTTGTTATATGCTAACAAAAATTTTATCCCTTTTATTTGACCAAAATGTATTTTTAAAAACTCCGTTAAAGTAGTGAGAACTATTTATGTCGATTCTAGGCAAACTAAAACTTTTCATTAAAGCAAATAATTTAACTTTTTAGCGAAAATTAAGAGCTTTAGTTTCACCTTGAATAGTTAAGAAAATTTGGCTCTACAGTTCTTTGTAGACTACTATTTAAGAATCGTTCATTTAGATTCTACTCTTCTGGCCAGGGCATTAGATTCTTGTAAGCATTTTGAAATCCGCAGTACAATATACCAAATTTCAACCTGCTTCTTATTCGAGTCAATATAGGCATCAAAATTTTGAATGTTAAGGACTATCGGCAAATGTCTCCAGAAAATTCTACACAGAATGTACAGCTCATTTAAGGTGTTTCCTTGTACCATTTATATATATTGCACTTAGACTTCTGAAAACTATTCCAAAAAATAGCTATTATATTGTCAAGCAATTTTAACATTGCCCGGTTTTCTGAACCCTATGTGAGAGCAGGTTAATAAAATGTTCAAATATTCTTTCGCAAGTATTTCACTCTGATATTAAGCCAGATTTTCAAATTGAAATTTTGGTNTAATTTAAAAATATAAAGTGCTTTCCTAGTTTAAGTAGTGTTTAAACCAAAATTAGCTTATGCGTGCTTACTTATTTTCTTTTTCTCACAGAACTGAACGATTTTGAAGACTAAATGGCTATAGGTTAATAGTTATGGGTTATCAAAAAGTAAAATTTTATAAATTTGTTATATGCCAACAAAAATTTTATCCCTTTTATTTGACCAAAATGTATTTTTAAAAACTCCGTTAAAGTAGTGAGAACTATTTATGTCGATTCTAGGCAAACTAAAACTTTTCATTAAAACAAATAATTTAACTTTTCAGCTAAAATTAAGAGCTTTAGTTTCACCTTGAATAGTTAATAAAATTTGGCTCTACAGTTCTTTGTAGACTACTATTTAAGAATCGTTCATGTAGATTCTACTCTTCTGGCCAGGGCATTAGATTCTTGTAAGCATTTTGAAATCCTCAGTACAATATACCAATCTTAATTTCAGCCTGCTTCTTATTCGAGTCAATATCGGCATCAAAATTGTGAATGTTAAGGACTATCGGCAAATGTCTCCAGAAAATTCTATACAGAATGTACAGCTCATTTTAGGTGTTTCCTTGTACCATTTATATATATTGCACTTAGACTTCTGAAAACTATTCCAAAAAATAGCTATTATATTGTCAAGCAATTTTAACACTGCCCGGTTTTCTGAACCCTATGTGAAAGCAGGTTAATAAAATGTTCAAATATTCTTCGCAAGTATTTCACTCTGATATTAAGACAGATTTTCAAATTGAAATTTTGGTGTCAAAATTGTTATTTATAGAGACAGAGCTCAAGTCTTTTAAAGCTAATCATAAAAACCAAATTAAATTTTAACTCAAACTCTAAACGGCGCCCGTTAAAATTTTCATAAATGTCCCATTTTATTCCTTAGCGAATCTTACTTAGAAGTAATGTTTTTCTATATCTGGAAAATATCGTAGATGAAATTAGATAATTCAGAGCACTATGAACGTCTGTACTCTACAATGCTAGTCAAGTGCTGGGTGACTTTTCAGGGCACGGACCTGCAACATTTTGTTACAGTCCAGGACCTTACTCTTGACCACCTCAGCCTTTTAAAAGTTAATTTAACGAGAGGCGAGAAAAACTTTGTAGCTAATTTAACAGTTAGATTTCGCTGTAAGCGCAAGGGTACTTCAGAAACTTCAGGTCACGGAAATGCGATCTACCATCACAATCCAGGTCCACCCAGCTCTTACGACACCCCTGCCCTTACTGCACCGTAGTCTGAAAAACGAAACTTTCCCAAACGGTTGGACGTGTGAAGTTCGAAGAGGTAGCAGAACGGCCGTCTACCACTACCAATCCGGATTTCCGTCACGTTCAGTGCCGTCTATTGGAATTTTTCGTTTCATAATAAGTTTCCCTTATGCAATGACATATTTGCCTGACATATTTTTCTTTTCGTGAATATCCAACGAAAGACCAAAATCACCTTGTAGACGTTCATAGTGCTTAACATCCTCTATGATTAAAAAATTAAATGCGAGATTTCTGCTAATTTCGTTATTAATGAGCCCTTCAATTATTTAACTCACAGGTATAGGCAAAATCTGCCAACTATTTAGAGCCAGAGTAACTATAAAGAATTTTTCCCGTGAAACAAATAGAACTAAAACGACGCGTTGTTTCTTATTGTTGTCTTAATGAATTTAGAAGTTTTATGCGATCAAAATGAGTACAAAGATGCAATAAAAGAGACCTGTGCTCACATTTG